CACTCAGGGGTCACTCCTGGTGGGCTTGGGGGACCCCTATGACAGAGCCCGGGTCAGCCGCATGCAAGGCAGGTGCCTACCCCTAATACTTTTGGCCATGCTGCCTGGTTCTCATCATTAAATATCTTCTGCATCTTCAGGAGTGGTTTCTTCTTTCTTAAGCCTGAGGTGTTGCTTCAAGCTCCTCTCGGGGAATCCCCTTCTTCCTTCCTTCTGCCAATCCCTTGCTGTGAATTCATCTGTGACTTAGGAGTGATCTATCGTGATATCTAGATCAAGTGCAGCGTTGCCTGTCTTGGGCTCTCCTCCGACCTTTGGACTGGGGGCTCGCCTTCTTCCTGCTTGCAGGGGCCCTGGGCCCAGCTCTGGACAGGATCAGGATCATCCTAGGCAGTAGGTTGCTTTCCCAGCCTCGTTGACAGCAGTCTTTCCCCTCCCAAATGCCTTCTCTAGCCAGCGTGGGCCTCAGGTGTGGCCCTGGTCCCCGCAGACTGTAAACACACTTTATGACCTTTGCACGGTCACAAAGTCACACCACCACTTATTTCCCGGGAGCGTTCCGCAGTCCCCAGATACCCCTAGTGGTTTGCAAACCTTTCAAAGTCACAGATCAGTGAGGACTCCTGAGCACTCTGCCAGCACCCGCTATGGGTCGGTTTATTTAACACAATGCATGTGCATCCCTAACAACTGCAAATCAAACATCATTAGTGAGGCTCCCAGTTTTTAGGTCGAAGAAAAACAACCACAAACACAAGTTCCGGCCATTTCTTCCCATCAGCCCTGTAGGTCACTCTGCATGTGTTACCCACTGGTGGCACCAACAGCTCATCTTGGCTCTGCCCAGTGATCAGGGCTCAGCCTGTCTCAGCCCCATGCCCGTTCTGCCTCTGGCTCTCGGAGTTCGAGTCCACTGCCAGGGCTGGTAGGAAGGAGGCTGTGGAGAGTGGGAAGAAATGTCTGAGTCTCATTCCCTGATTTCAGGCCAGTGTAGACCCAAATGTCTAAGAGAAAGGCAGGGGAGGGGTGGAAGGACACTTTATTTTCTCTTCCTTTTTTTTTTTTTTAAACTCCTTTGGTATGATTTGGGGGTCATGGCTGGTGGTGCTCAGGGGTCACTCCTGGCAGTGCTTGGGGGACCCTGTGTGGTGCCAAGGATTTGAGCTGGGATTGGCCCGGTTCAAGGCAAGTGCCTTCAGCCCTGAGATCATTGTGCCACCCTTTGTTTTCTGCTCCTGGTGGCGGGCGTGCGTCTCTGTGTCAGTGAGAGGAAGGACAGGACACTGTTCGTGTCCCTCCGGTTCCGGGACCTGATTTCTCATGAAATAGCAACGTGTCGGGAAAGATGAAAATTCATACTATCCATACCCATAACCTGAGTGAGCCGGCAGGCAGAACCAGGCACCTCGGAGGAAATAGTCCCGGGGGGACTGTTCATCAGGCTGGCAGGTCATCCACCAAAGCTGGCTAGGGATGGCTCCTCCCAGGCCGAGCAGCATGCAAATGGGAGCTGGCAGGCCTGGCCCACCGCGTGCCAGGAAGACCCACGTCCCCAGCCTGCGCTGGGCCCTCAGCCAGCAGGGCTGTGCCTGGCATGTGCCAGTGCTCCGTGAGGAGGTCCCTCTCCAGGCTCCGTGGCTGCCGTGGGCGGTGGGCAGGCAGCCAGGAGACTCCCTGAGAATGCCAAGTATCACTGCCAGCAGCCCCGGGTCACAGGAGCCAATGTGTCGGTGGGGACCCAGGCAAGCCAGGCTGCCCTCCCCATGGCGGCAGACTCTCCCTAACGTCCTCTCCCCTCCCCGGAAGGAAGACACGTGAAAAACCCTTAATGACACACACCAGCCAACCCAAGCCATGTCTTCTCAAATCCATCTCACTGCTACAGAGATTTCCATAGCAACTTCAGCAGTGTTTGTCTCCCAGCCAGTCGGGCTGAGGGAGTCACTTTACTGGGAGGGCTTTGGGTTCTGCACACATGAGTCCTTCTAGAACATTCAGGCTACCCTAACACCTGAGGCCATCCCTCCACCAGCTGCAGGTGCCAGAGACACAGCCAGCAGGTGAACAAGCAGGAGAGGTGGGGGGGTCTCTCCTGCCTCACCCCCGCCCCGCTGACCCCTCACTCAGCCCCCACAGCAGCTCCTGCTTGGGATTTGCCTCTGGCCACAGGGTTCCCCACGTGACATGTCACACAGACACTTCCAAGGAACTTGGCATCAGGAAGGACAATTCTCATCTAAGCTCATTTAAGCTTGATTCGCAAAGAAATTGCTTGGTCTTTTGAAGAGAAGGGCTTTACTGATTAGGAAGCAGACCTCGGTACAGCTTTTCCACTTCCACAGGCTGGATCCTGGGGGGCAGGCGGTGGGGAGGGGGTTGGTCAGAGGCTGAGTTTGGAGAATGGGGAGTTCATTGGCACTGTTCTGGGACTCCACTCGGGGGTGGGGAGAGGACACAGGGGGTGTTGACGGGGAGAAGCCGTCAGAGAGGCACCCTGCAAGCCCGGGGGTGTCTGGGCTGCCCGAGAACCCCACGGAGCTGCTGGCTGGGCTTCTTTCTCCCACACTGCCCATGCCTGGGCAGGGCAATCCTGAGATGGGGACTGCCCTGCCCAACACCCGCGCAGAAGGAGTAGAACCAGAGCCAGCAGCACCCCGGAGATGGTGGGGGGGAGGGGAGGCCAAGGCAGCCCAGCGAGCACCGCCCGCGGATATCTCTGAACTTCACACGAAGTCAGCCCTGAGGACGAAGAGAGAATTCAGAACATGGTGGATGTAGGAAAGCAGCATGCACATGGCGGGAGCGTCCAGTCATGGGCCAGGAGGCCGATCACAGGTGGGGGGTGGCTGGAGCAACTTCCCTCATTGGGGCAGGATGCAGGGGCCGAGTCTGGACTTCAGACTCAGACTCAGGTTCAAGTTCCAGCTCTGCAGAGGCAAGCTCTGGGCTCAGGCCTGGCCCTCAGCTCTGAGCAGAGGACATCTGGGCACCTGGACCACAGGGTCTGGCGAGCAGACGACAGGAGGCAAGCACAGGGTGGCTCCCGAGGACAAGGACAAGGCGGGACTGCAGGCCCTCAGACACACAGCACGTCCCACTGCCGAGAGGGAGAGGCGAGGAGAGTGTTTGATTTGCTCACGGCTGTGCCTTTATCTCACCCTGCCAGGGGCTGGCGGTCACTGTCACGACACAGAAGGAAGCCAGCAGGGTGCCGGGATGGGGAAGGCCGGCCTCACCTCAGAAGCATGGGGGGAAAGGGGACAATTCGGCAGCAAATCCTAGGCCAAAGGCACACTCTACAGCAAGCAGATTTTCCAGTGAAAATTCATCAACCAAGGATCAGAGGGACAGGTCAGCAAGAAAAGCATTTGCCTGGCAGGCGGCCAATTCAGATCTGCTCCCCAGCACCTCACAGGGTCCTCTGAGCCCCTCCAGGAGTGATCCCTGAGCACAGGGCTGGGAGTCAGCCCTGAGGACCCCTGGGTGTGGCCCCCTAAACCAAAAGAAACAAAACAAAAACTGACCATCAATCTTGCTTGTCTTAATAAACAACAAATCATGCTTGCAGTCCCGCCTGATAAACGGGGTGACCACACAAGCCAAAGAGGGTTGATCTGAGGACAGAGAGGACTCTGGAGTCTTCCAGGGCTATGCAGATTCTCTGAGTGCTGTTAGGGGGCCCGATAGTAAGCACAGAAGTGGGAGTCTGGGGGAGTAGAGGTCTGCCATGGTCTCTGGAGGGGTTGCGCTTGCTCTAATTATGATGCAGCTTCAAGCACCCAAGTGCCCACAGGACAGTGTCAGGGCAGGGCTCGAGCCCCAGCTCCCAGTGAGATGAGGCTATGCTGGGGGCTATGCCAAGTGCCATCATGTCATGTGCCCTGGGGCCCCTTGAGGCCCCGTCTCAGCTGCTCTACACCCCTGCCCACCCAGATCCTACAGCAAAGTTTCTCCCAATGCTCCATGGGCCCCACATGAAGGTGCATAGGAATCACACAGGTGACCTCGCTCAAAGGCAAACCTTATGGAAGTGCAGCCTGAGACTGCGCCGGGGGCCAGCTCCCACTGAGATGGACACAGTAGGCCTGGGCCCAGTCTGGGCAGCTAAGCACCCGCAGCGCCCAGCAACCACACGAAGGTCATTTGTGGGCAGGTGCTTCAGAGATAATCTGGGCTCAATACTCAGTCCAGGGCCAGGAAGGGAGAGGACAGCAGGTAAGGCACTGGCCTCGCATGCAACTGCCCGGGTTCGACCCCCAGAACCATACAGAACCCCCCACCTGGCAGCACCCCCAGAGTACAGGGTCAAAGTAGCATCTGTGCACAGCCCAGTGTAGCCCCAGAGTCCCCAGTAAAATAAAAACAAAAATCCAACCAGTCAGTCTCCTTTCTGACAGCTTCAACACTAAACGGTAGTTGGTGGAGTTGGCACAACAGCATAGCGGGCCGGGAACTTGTCTTGCCCACAGCTGACCTGTGTCAGATCCCTGGCACCACATATGGTCCCTGAATACTGCCAGGTGTGGCCCCCAAACTGAAAAAAATTAATGAATCAAACACTTGGTGGGGACCAGCCTGCCTGTGAAGGAGAGTCAGACCTGAGAAAGGATTGGCCAGAGCGCTGGGATACCAAGTCTTATGGAGTACTGAGATACGAAGTCTCATGGAGCACCGGGTTATTGAGTCTCACGGAGCACGGAGATACTGAGTCTCATGAAGCACTGGGATACTGAGTCTCACAGAGACGAGGGCAGTATGTTTGGTACGTCCCAGCCTCCCCACCTGACCGGGGCTCCCCAGCTCCTGGCGGCAGCCCACCTGCACTGGCCGTCCCCCAGCCCTGTTCTCCTGCTGGAAGTCTCGAAGGTGCCTCCTCCATCAGACCTCAGGCAGCCTGGCCTCACCTGCTCCTCTCCGCCTGCCCCAGTCCCGGCCGGGAGCTCCGCCCCCCCACCGCACCCCGCGTCCTCCGCGGAGTTGGCGACGCCGCACGCACGCACCTTTCGCAGACGCGCACGGTCCAGGCGGCGATGATCCAGAGCGAGATGCTGAAGACCAGCAGCACCGTGCCCGGGCAGATGGTCATGAGCGTCTTCATGACGAAGCGGGTGTTGAAGTTGATCTTGTTGAGCGCGCCGATGCTGCGCGACGAGGCGTCCGTGAAGAGCTTGCTGTGCAGCAGCATGACGCGGGCGATCAGGTACAGGCGCAGGAACATGGGGATGGACAGGATGATGTCCACGTCGGCCTCCGCCCGCGAGGGCGTGTAGGAGAAGGCCAGGCGCGCCGTCCAGAAGAACTTGTACTCGCCGGGGATGGGGTGGATGGCGCACACCAGCATCTCCAGGCTGATGTAGAGGATGCGCTCGTAGGTCATGGCGATGCGCCAGTCGTCAGCGCCGTTGTCGATCACGAACAGCTGGTGGGGGAGAGAGCGGTGAGCCAGGTGGACGGGACCCCGCGGGGGCGGCGGGGGCGGCGAGGTGGACGGGACCGCGGGTTAGTGGCGGGGACTGGGGCTGGCCCACCTCCGGGGCAGGGGCAGGGGGCGGAAGCCAGGAGTGTGTACAGAGGGCCAGGTGCTCGCCTTGCACACAGCCAGCCAAGGCGAGGCAGAGGTGCTCGTGGGAGGAGCCATCCCTCCCTCACGCTCCTCCAGCACCCCCTCACTCCCAGGGTCCCAGAGGAAAGGCAGTAAGGACGGTTCTTGAGGGGGAGTCATGGAGCCTTGGACACAGATTCAAACATAACCAGGCCAGGGACACCATCAGGTCACATAGGGCAGGCAGTGCCAGGCAGTTACAGAGAAGCAGAGGGAGAGGAGGGGAGGGGAAGGGCCCCCGGTCCCCACCTAGGTATCCTCCATGCCCGTGCCCCCTCTCCCAAGGCACTCCTGGCCTCTTGGGCACTGCGGGAGATGAGAGTGGAAGAGCTGGTTTGCGGCGTGGTGTTTTGTCTGCTGCAGTGTACAGGACTTAGGTGCTCAGGAATCGAAGCTGCAGTGCTGGGTGGTAAGCACCAGTGATGATAAAATGATGATAAAATACACCAGTCTGTCTTGTGCAAGGTGGGCCTCTTACCCTGATCTCACTCTAGCCTGAAGGAGCTTTATAAGCCGCACAGCACAGGGGCTGGGGAACAGAAGCCAACACCTGTCCCACCATGCTGTTGAAACTCGCAGGCAACTTTTTTTTCTGTTTTGGTCACACCCAGCGGTGCTCAGGGGTTATTCCTGGCTCTGCACTCAGGAGTTACTCCTGACAGTGCCTGGGGGACCATATGGGATGCGGGGATTGAACCTGGGTCTGCCGCATGCAAGGCAAACACCCTAACCACTGTACTATCGCTCTAGTTCCTCAGGCAATTTCTGACCCCAACCAAAGCTTAATAACACGTATTGGCCGGAAAGTGTTGGCCACACAGAAACAACCTCTTTATGCACTGTAACTGTTCTTTTTGTGGGAGGAGGGGGCTTCGTAAGCAGTGCTCAGGGGGCCCAGGGGCCGCTTCCAGCTGTAATCAGCCCACAGGGCTAGTGATCTGATGCTAGTGCTGAGGATACCGAGTTGGCCTTGTGGTGCCAGGGGCCACGTGACACGGAGGCCGGCACAGGGGCCTTGGTGCCTTGGCTAAGCCAGCTCCTAGGACCCTAGAAACTGTATTGTTATGATAAAATGCACCAGAGAAAAACTCTAAAGATTGTTAGGGAGAGGAGATGCCTTAGAGAGCGGGACTGCATTTATCACGCTGGATGTTGTCTGTTTTCCAGGGAATCTGTTGTACATGAACCTGCAAGATTCAGGCCCATGGCAACTCAAGAACCAGCTGTACCAAAGACCGTGTTTGTTCATTCATTTATTCACCAGATATGTGTCTGTCACAGGGTGGGAACCTGGAGGCTGCCCCAAGCTGTGTGGACACAACTCTGGGGCCCAGATGAGAGGGGACCAGTAGGCACCAGGGCAGCCAGCAGCCAAGGGATGTACCTGAGTTCTAATGAGGAGGGAGGGTGCCCAGCAGAGCCAGCGGGGACAACCCCGTCTGTCCCTCCACAGCCCGGGGTTTTTCCACCATCAATTAGAAAGACTAAGTGGCTGTTCAAAGAGTTCCCTCTGTTCCTTACTGCCACTGCCAGGCCAGGCCAGGAGGAGGAGGAGGAGGAGAAAGGGGAGGAGGAGGAGGAGAAGGAGGAGGAGGAGGAGGAGGAGGAGGAGGAGGAGGAGGAGGAGGAGGAGGAGGAGGAGGAGGAGGAGGAGGAGGAGGCAATGTGATTGCCTGGCCCTGCTCTTCAAATGCAAAATGAAAGTCATTCACCCTCCCGCCGCTTCAGGTTACTATAGCAACCGGGTTCTCTCGGGCAGGTCCCAGTCAAGGCCCCCTTTGATTCCCTGAAGGAACAGAGATGGTCTCGGGATCCAGGGGAAAGGGGAGGGATGCCATGGCTCTGTGGGGGTGCTAGTGGCTCATGGCTTCTGTTTCCATCCTGGGGGGGAGGTTAGGGGGGGCTGGGGAGGGAGGGAAATGGAGTTGGCAGGGGCCAGGCCTTGGTCCCCGGCTTTCGGGGACATGCTGTCTTTCTGCTGTGGGCCACTCATGTGCTGAGTCTTTGGATCAAATGATACATGGGGGGATGGGGACGGCACTGACCCACTGCTCAGAGAAAAAGAAAATGAGAAGGACCTTTCGGCCAGCTGGAGGGGTATCCCCTGAAGAGGGTGGGAGGGGTGTTGGGGAGGGGAGCGCCAAGGTGCGGCAGTCTCTGCTAGTGTCAGTGGGTCTGGGAGGTGGGGTGGGGCACGGCCTAGCAGCCCCCAAAGCTGGCCCCGTCGGGAGGTTCCCCCCCCCGCCCCTGAATCCTGACTTTCCAAGGAGCTTTGATCTTTGCTGCTGCCAGCGGCCCCTGAGGTTCTCACCCTGCCAGGCCCTCTCTCTGCCTCACATGTCTCCACTAAAGCCTTACTTTTGTCTGTCTTTTCAGCTGAAACAGGTGCTGAGGCCTCAGTGGCCTCTAGGGAGCAGCAGACAGAAAGGACCCGAGCTCAGACCCACCTCGCTCTAGGAGATCTGCTGGCTGGGACAGGGGGAGACCTCAGTCCTGGGATTCTTCGGAAGCTCCCCGGCTTGTTGACCGAGCGCCCCAGTGTGGTGCTGGAGGGATTGGGGACCCACCATAGGCACAGGCACAGGGCCGAGTCTACCCTGTCCCCTGGTATCTCATGGGCCCAGCCCAGAATTTAGCATTTAGTAGGTGTTGGATAAATGTGGCTCGAGTGACTCAGGAAACACCGCTGATTGACTGGGTGGTCCCGGGTGACTAAGGCCCCCCCACAGCCCCAGCTCAATTTCCTCCTCTCAGGATGTGGGGAGGGAAGGTCTGTCCAAGAAACACAATCCTGGGGGCCGGTGCAGTCCCCCACCCACCCCCAAGCCGGCTGTGTGTTCTCCACACAGGCCAACGCCTGGCCATCTGCCCTCCCCGGGCCGCAAAATGATGCTCGAGACATAGTGGGCAGCCCAGAGAGGCAGGGGACACGGGTGGGCAGGTGGCTACTGTGTCACACAAGGAGAGGTGACGAGCAGCCCTGCTCAGCCACCTGGGAGGAGATTCCCTCAGAAATTCATCTCTGTGGCCAAGAGGATTCACTGCTACCCCAGAGGACCGCCCCCCCAATCCGGAGCCCAGTGTCCTCGTGAGCTCCATGGACAAGGCTCCAAGGCCAGTGTGACACGAGGACCGTGAGGAGGCCCAGGCTGGAGGGGCAAGATGAAGGTGCCTACGACGCTGGAGAGGTCCAGGCAGCCCAGCTCTCCACCCCTGAGGCATCCCCGCGTGACCAGGCTCTGGGATGAGCTGCGTCTGGACACCAGGGGGCCTTTGAAGGGCTCCTCCTACACAACTAACGCCGGAGCCTTGAGGTCTGGAGGTCTGACCGCCCTGCCCTGGGTTTGTCCCCTCACGTCCCAGCTCCCCTGAGTGGGGAAGGAGGGTCCCCAGTTTTCCTGCTCCCGAGGCCGAAAGCAGCCATTTTCCATGTGGGGAGAGGCCCAGGCTGCAGGTGGTTAGGCCAGGGCTGAGGAGGGTCGGCCCCTGCCCTCGGCCGCTGCTCAAGCAGCTCCTACAGTCACTCTGGCCACTGACTGGCGGGCACGGGAGCTGGGAGACTGTCAGCCCGTCACAGGGCTGAGGGGCGGGGCAGTGTGGGGCTGAGTGACAGCTCTTCTGCCTCATCTTCAGGGAGCTGGGAATTAGAACAGAAAGCCAACACCACACCACTCAACTCAAAAACAGCACAAACCAAGGAGAACGTGAACGGTGCCAGCCTAAGACTTCCCACAGGCACACGGAAGGGGGTTGCTGGGAATGACTGTTGGCATTAATCCAAGGCTGGCACCATGTTCCAGTGCGGACCTGTCTAATCATCACGTCGTTCCCTTCATTTCTGTTTATTTCTGGTTTAGGTACCACACCTGAGGCTTCTCAGGGGTTGTTTCCAGCTCTGTGCTCAGGGATCACTCCTGGCAGAGCTCGGGGGACCCTACATGTGACAGGGGCTCTAACTGGGGTTGGCTGCATGCAAGGAAGCGCCTTTCCCCTTATCTCCTAGGGCCTGACCCTTTATACACAATCTATTTTGGGGGGTGGGGAGGTCACACTCGGAGGTGCTCAGGGGTTACTCCTCGCTCTGCACTCAGGAATTACTCCTGGCAGCCTCAAGGGACCACATGGGATGCTGGAGATTGAACCCAGGTCAGCCACGTGGAAGGCAAGAGCCGTACCCGCTGTTCTATCGCCCCGGCCCCTTTGTGTACAATCTTGTTTGACGATTATACCACAACCTGAAGCAACCCCCCCCCCCCCCCACAGATGAGGACACTGTGGGACATGAATATGAACCACTCCCGAATTCAGGATCCAGGATCAGAGGCCCACGAGGAGGAGCTGATGGGGAGCTTCCCAGCTCTGGAGCCTGCCAACCCTAGATTCCACCAGCCGGGCGTGGCAGTGCATCAAAGGGCTGTAAGGGGCTTGTGTTTCTCAACCTCAGGATTCTGAATGTGGCCACCAGCCTGGCTCTGACCCCTGGGATGCTAGAACAAATGAGTCTGCAGAAGTGGAGGAGGCCCAGTGCCTTGGACAGTGGCTACGCCTTCCCTGTCACCCAGAGACACCTGCTGGCCACGAACATGGAGCCAGCCCACCCAGCTGACCCTGCCTCCAGCAGCTCATCTTGGATGAGACTGTCCTCCATGGCTGACACCCTCCACACCACCAGGAGTGACCATCACTGTTTCGAGCAACTGGGGCCAGAGAGCTGGCCCAGTGAGGAAGGTGCTTGCTTTGTACCCAATCAATGAGGATTTGATCTCTGGCATTGCAGAGTCCCCTGACCCCAGCCAGGAGTGATCTGAGCACAGAAC